GTGGGTGCCTGGGCCTTGGGCGGGCCTGGGCCATGCCTGGGCTGCGGGCCTCAAACATGAGGCCCAGCCCAGGCCCTTCTGGCATGCCGTGCCGGCCCGGCTCATAACAGTACAGGGCCGGGCCGTGCCGAATTTGCTACTGTAGCGGGCTGGGCCGGGCCGTCCATGGACGGCCCGGCCCAATTGACACCTCTAGATATGTGAGAGGCAATATTATACCTAACCAATTCTGTTAGATGGGGAGCCTTTCATTGGTAGCTTTCCACTTTTATTTGGAATATATTCAAATACCACTTTTCATATTCACTACAATTTTGTAACCTATATTTATATTGACTAATATAAATCCTTATTCTATATATAGCAACTGAGTACACGTGGTTTCGTATTCATTCTATTGTTGTAAAGATGTGGTCACATACTAATTAAAAAATAAGTAGAGATGTCATATGAATAGGTTGACAACGATGTATTATAGTTTCAATATTATCATGATGGTCGATAGAGCTCCAAGTTTGGCCCTATTGCGAAACCTCTCACTATTAGCCAAGTCTCAGCCCCGTTAAGTGTTCGAGACGGTTCTAACGCCTGAATCGGACTGATAATCCAAATACTAAATGCCTTTTCAGCTCAGGTCGGGTAGGCCTGAAATCCTTTATTTATTTATTAAAAATTTCCCTTATTAAGGTTTAATTAAGTCCGATTCTACCCGCCAACTTTAAATACATAACACCCCAAACTCCCATTAAGACCGTCAGGTCTGGGCCGAATGGCCTGAACCTTCTGCTCTAATTGTCAACAAGAGATGAAGTCAAACAAAACCATGAACCAGTTTTTTATAGACGAGTTTTTATGATTATATTTTCATGAGGATTATTATTAAAAATAGAAATTTTATTACGGGTCGTGATAAGATTCAAATCTTATTAATTGTCATAATTTTTTTTTTAACTATCCAGTTTATATATTATGACTATCGGATCAATATATTATGGTTAAAATAACGATATACCCGCTGATGAATAAATATTAGAATAACCATTAAAACTACACACCTTATACTTATATTAGCAACGTAATTAAAGTATGTTGGCATTCTTTAATGTCCCTAATAATTTCCTCTTGTAATTTATTGTGTGTTTATATATATATATATATATACACACATATATATATATATGTATATATATAAAAGTGTGGTTTTAGTAGTTACTCTAATAGTTATACATCAATGAGTATTATTATTTTGGCATGAAGATATTGATCAGAAGGTTGTAATAAATTAGATACTTGACTAAAAAAAATTTATGACAATTAACTAAATTGAATTTTATATTTGATGGATAACTACCTATAGAAACATAATATTAAAAACTCATTCATATATATATATGTGTATATATATATATATATCAATTATCCTATTTTATATTACTATTAGCCTATAAGTATCACTTTTGACATTTCAACCTATAAATGCGAACAAGTAAATGAATTTATTTTAATATATCTCTTACTTAACTAGCTTGCAATTTGCTATGCAGCCCCCCAAATGTTGTGATCATTACCTTTATTGTATCATTTTTCCTAGTCTTTACCCTTACAAAAGATATTCCAGATGTGGAAGGTGATATGAAGTAAGTTATATTTTTCACCATATCGATTTATAAACTCAAAATCTTAAATTTTTAATTTCAATCACCCCTTTGATTTTTTTTTAATAGCCTATACTTCCGGCAT